CCCAATGAAAATCTTGAAAATTTAAATTCAAGAATGGGGGAGGCCCCCTTAATCTGAGTTTAATAATGGAAATAGGTTGTGCAAAGTTTGGTTCACATCGGACATTATTTTCGCCTAATATCGAATATAACCCTTTGTGGGGGAGGTATCAAAAGGAGGGGACCAATAGGTCCTATCTTGATCTGGGCATGGTTTGTGCAACGTTTGGTTCAAATCCGACAGTCCTTTCGCATGGTATTATAAAATTAATTTTTAGCACAATTTTGACCATTTTGAGGGGGAGGTACCAGAAGGAGTGCACCGATATTCCTTATCTTCGAATTTGAACTATGTTTTGAAGAAATATTACGATATTCAAAGTTTGTATGAAATCGGTCACTCCCTTTGTGCGTACCAGCCGTCGAGAGAGACAGACGAAAGGACATTTGTACCCCAAAGATCTCAAAGAAACATGGGGTCTAAAACCAATATTTCGATGAAGCACATTTTGGCGGCGTCAATGTGTATAAAACCTCATTAGCCATATAAAAATAAATTAATTCGTGAACATTGTGCTTCGATGAACCTTATCTAATATTTTAATGACAATTGATCATTGGTGATTGTATGCCTCTACAACAAATATTTAAGCAAGGGTCTCCTGTTATTCAGAGCAAATGTGGGAACTTTTCGGTTTGATCGGGCAGTTCTGAGTGCTACATCAAAATTTGCTTGCCTGAAGTTTTGAAAAATAAGTCGAAAAATTAACAAGATAATATGAATCATTAAGTTTAAGCCCGAACCTTGAATATTTCCAATATTAGAAATGTAGCCTCCTGATTATTTCCCATTCCCATGTAAAATTTGGACATTTTCGGGTCATATTTGAAGACTTATGCAGGCCCATACTTATAATACTACATATTAATAATACATAAGTAGTCTGATAATAAAGTATCATTGAATTTCACAAACATTTCTTAAATTCTACTTTTAGTCGTTGAAAACTTTATAATCTACGACTACAAATCATAGGAAAATATCGTATATTCAGGAATATTATGAATTAATTGTATCTGCTGAGTAATCGCCCTTTACCACACCTGTACAATAGCTTCCTCTTGGGGCTAAATCAATACCAATACACGATGTTTTAGTTTCTATACTCCCATTCAAAATGAAGCTAAAACAATTTACTTCAAATTTCTCTCAGTCCATTTAAAAAAATCGAAAATCACAAAATCAAATGGTCATAAAGAGCATTTCATAGTCCAGTTTTATGGGCAATTGCCACACTGCAATGAAATGGACATAAAATGAGCAACTAAAAAACTTTAACACAGTGTCTTTCTACTCTCTGTAAAGCAAAAGTACTAAAGCAGAAAAAAAGGAGCTCAGACAAAAAATGCACAATATTATACATAGTGCCTGAATCTAATCATATAGGAATATTTTTTCATTGTCATGTTTGAAATAAAAAATATAAAAGTGCAACCATTGGTTATTGCTACACACACACACACAGAAAAAGTCAGTGTCCTTAGACTCGTTATTGAGAGCAAACAATCTCCTTAGCGTGCTTATGTTATGCATTGTGATTTGTGTCAATAATTTGTTTTATTTTGTTGTTCTTTTTTTATTTGCTGTCATTGTTGTACATTAAATTGTCTTAGAGTTATCTTCTGGCTTGTTTTTTTTTGTTCGTCTCTCAAATTGAAAAATAGAAATACCGAAAGAAGACTGGACAAATAAAACAGGAAGGAAGCAAATTTTTACTCTTGTTGAAAACTTTAAGAAAAAATTTAGATTTCAACAAAACATTGCTCTGGCAATAAGGAAACAGAAGTAGACTGATTGTAATAGTATCGGGTGTATTGTTCAACATCAATTGACATAAGCATCGATATTATACGAAATTCTCATGTTGATATTTTATTTTGTGTTTATTTTTTCTATTTACTTCTTTTTAATAATTTGTATTTTTTTATTATGTTTTACTGGACATTGAGAGGATTACTTGAGGATTTTGTAGCAATTGATAATAAAATGGAGATTTGTCGTTTCCTTTTTTCGTTTCATTTTTTATTCCTTAAAGGAATGTGAAGTAATTTGAATTTGAAGTATTTTGAATTTATTTTAATATAATTATATAAACATATTTTTTTTAATAGCGAGATATTATTATTGAATTTATTATCATGGCAATTTATTTAGCTACCTAGTCTATTCAATTGTGACATCAGGGTAATTTTGAACGATGGTACGGCAAATAACTGTTAGTGGCTGCAGCTTAATGTTACATCTAAGCAAAGTGAAAAAAATATTCTTTAAAGGATCTACCCCTTATAAAAATATTCCTTAGAAAATGTTCGCCTCTTACGGCTATTATAGTCATTATAAAAATATTCCTTAGATAATGTTCACCTGTTACTGTCCTTATAAAAATATTTTTTTTTAAGATTACCCCTCTTATAGTGCTTGAAAATATATATTTTCTAAGAATCCACGCCTCTCGTAGAGCTTGAAATTTTTTCCAATATCTAATTTAAGTGGCTGAAAAATTTTTTCTTTTAAATATCTACGCCACTTATAGGCCTTGAAAAATATTTTTTTATATACTTTAAAGTGGCTGAAAAAAATTTTTCTTTTAAATATCTACGCCACTTATAGGCCTTGAAAAATATCCTAAAAAAATATTCTTTAATATAGGGCTTGAACAAATATTCTTTAATAAATCGACGCCTCTTATAGGGCTTAAAAACTATTCTTTAATAAATCTACGCCTCTTATAGGGCTTAAAAAATATTCTTTAATAAATCTACGCCTCTTATAGGCCCTGAAAAAATATTCTTTAATAAATCTACGCCTCTTATAGGCCCTGAAAAAATATTCTTTAATAAATCTACGCCTCAGTTGGCCCTTGAAAAATATTCTTTAATAAATCCAAGCCTCTTATAGTCCACGCCTCTTATAATCCTTAAAAAATATTCTCAAATAAATCCAATCCTCTTATAGTCCACGCCTGTTATAGTCCTTAAAAAATATTCTCTAATAAATCCAATCCTCTCATTGTCCACGCCTCTTGTAGTCCTTGAAAAAATATTCTCTAATAAATCCAAGCCTCTAATAGTCCACGCTTCTTATATTCCTTAAAAAATATTCTCTAATAAATCCAATCCTCTTATAGTCCACGCCTGTTATAGTCCTTGAATAAATATTCTCTAATAAATCCAATCCTCTAATAGTCCACGCCTGTTATAGTCCTTGAAATAATATTCTCTAATAAATCCAATGCTCTCATAGTCCACGCCTGTGATAGTCCTTGAAAAATATTCTCTAATAAATCCACGCCTCTTTTGGACCTGGAAAAATATTCTCTAATAAATCCACGCCTCTTTTGGACCTGGAAAAATATTCTTGAATAAATCCACGCCTCAGTTGGCCCTTGAAAAATAATCTTTAATAAATCCACGCCTCAGTTAGCCCTTGAAAAATATTCTTTAATAAATGCACGCCTCAGTCCTGGCGCCTCTTATAGACCTTAAAAAATATTCTTTAATAAATGCACGCCTCAGTTGGCCCTTGAAAAATATTCTTTAATAAATCCAAGCCTCAGTTGGCCCTTGAAAAATATTCTCTAATAAATCCACGCCTCAGTTGGCCCTTGAAAAATATTCTCTAATAAATCCAATCATCTAATAGTCCACGCCTGTTATAGTCCTTGGAAAAATATTCTCTAATAAATCCAATGCTCTCATAGTCCACGCCTCTTATAGTCCTTGAAAAAATATTCTCTAATAAATCCAAGCCTCTCATAGTCCACGCCTCTTATAATTATTGGAAAAATATTCTCTAATAAATCCAATCCTCTTATAGTCCACGTCTCTTATGGTCATTGTAAAAATAATCTTTAATAAATGCACGCCTCTTATAGTCCTTAAAAAATTATCTTTAATAAATGCACGCTTCTTATAGTCCTTAAAAAATATTCTTTAATAAATGCACGCCTCTTATAGTCCTTGAAAAAATATTCTTTAATAAATGCACCCCTCAGTTGGCCCTTGAAAAATATTCTTTAATAAATGCACGCCTCTTATAGTCCTTCAAAAACTGTTCTTTAATAAATCCAAACCTCTAATAGTCCACGCCTCTTATAGTCCTTAAAAAAATATTCTCTAATGAATCCAATCCTCTTATAGTCCACGCCTGTTATAGTCCTTGAAAAAATATTCTCTAATAAATCCAATCCTCTAATAGTCCACGCCTGTTATAGTCCTTGGAAAAATATTCTCTAATAAATCCATGCTCTCATAGTCCACGCCTCTTATAGTCCTTGGAAAAATATTCTCTAATAAATCCAATCCTCTCATAGACCACGCCTCTTATAGTCCTTGAAAAAATATTCTCTAATAAATCCAATCCTCTCATAGTCCACGTCTCTTATAGTCATTGTAAAAATAATCTTTAATAATTCCACGCCTATTATAGTCATTGTAAAAACAATCTTTAATAAATCCACGCCTCTCATAGTCCTTGAAAAATATTTTTTAATAAATCCACGCCTCTCATAGTCCTTGAAAAATATTTTTTAATAAATCCACGCCTCTTATAGTCCTTGAAAAATATTCTTTAATAAATCCACGCCTCTTATATTCCATGCAAAAAATATTCGTTAATAAATCAAGTCCTCTGCTAGTCTTTAAAAAAATATTCATTAATTTTTTTACCAAATCATGATCAAAGTCGAAGATGGAACCCATCAGTGTACTACTTCTGTAAATTCGCCACAAAGGGTCAACATTTTAAAAATATTTAAATTTCGTATAAATAAAAACATAATAAAAACCCTTTCCCCTCATCTACATAGTTTCATGAACTAAATAAAGCACAAATTAAATTCAGAGTAAATTATTCTATCTACCAATATTGTTTTTCTTCTTCCCCCGTGTATTTCTACATCAAATTCCACTTACAATTAACTACAATTAAAATAAAACTAGTTGTTGTTGCTCGGTACTTACATAGTTTTGTGCAAGGTCAGGATGATTCTTCTGTATGCCATCGTCCAATATGGAGACAACAACACCCTTGCCCGTATAACCTTTTTGCCAAGCGGGTCCAATATTCATATCCAAACCGTCTTTGGCGCCACCATTCTGTTTGTTTATTTCGGACGAATGAATGAAGCCAAACATTTTTTTTGCAATGGAGAACAAAAAAATAGTATTTTGGTGATTGGATTTTGATGTTGTTGGCAATGGTGGCGGCAGTGGTTGGGTTCGCGATGGTTAGTTGTAGTTTTCGTTTTTCCACCAGAACCATGTTTGAAGCCATTCAGTTGTAGCAAATACCAATAGAGTTCAAATACACACAACAACAATTTTGGTAACAGCGTCGGGCAGCATTTATTGTCCATCCATCCAGACCAGTCCAGACACAAACAAAAATAATTCAACAGAATCCGTGTGAAAAGAATAGAAGAGAGTATCAAAATATCGGCAGCCGTAATAATATCGAGACGTATAGTTGTAAAAGTTGTTGATGTGGCAGTAATATAGCCAATGATGGTGTTGTTTTTGTTGTGTTCCATGTTATTGAACATTAATAAATTAAATTGAATGTGAATAATGGCAGGCGTACAGCAGCACATAAAGAGATGTTTGGAAAAAGAAAAAGAGGGAGGGAGAGAGAAAAAACAAATATTTAATGAGTGAGAGAAAAAAGTACACATATTCGTATATGTAGATATAATAAAACTATTTTATCCGTAAAAATTACAATATCCATTTTATATTTATTTTATTTTATATATGGGAAATATTTGTTGTATTCTCCAAATTGGCTACCATACAATACAAACAATACAATACTAGGAGAGTGCCAACATGGGTGGTTGATTGGGTGCATTTGAGGCAGATGTGGGCAATATAATAACGTAATTGTGTATTTTTAATTTAATTTGTATTTTTTTTTTCAATTTCAATTTTCCTCCTATTAATTACAATACAAAATGAACGCATGTAAAATAAATATGGTTTATACTAACGTCAATATTAAATTCACATATGGCATCTTATGTTTGAAATTTCGATAATGTAATTGATATGAAAATATTGAATAAAAATTATGTAAAATTATCCCTTAATGGAAAATATTATAACGAAATTAAATTATCAAATTTACTTAGTGAATTTGAAGGGATTTAATAAATAAGTAAATTTTATCTTTAAATATTAGTTAAAAATTTTATAATATCATAACACAAATACATATGAATAAAATTTTACGATGTTTTTTTTCGTGTAAATGAAATAATGTATAAAATAACCAGATCGTTTCAAGAGACTTTATAAGAAGCAAAAAAGTGCCTCTCAAACGGAATACGGTATAAATGACGATCAATCTATGTTTAGGGAATCAGTTTATTTTTATCTGAGTTCCTAGCCAGTCACATTTTTTATACAAATCTCCCGAACGGATGACTGGGTTCAATATGAAAAATTACAAATTGTTTGTTTGAAGTCAAATATTGAATATGGGGAAACATGTTGATATTTGTTTAATAAATGTTGTTGATTTACCAATGTTTCACAGGCCGTCGCCATTTAGCGATCGTAAGCAAACAGTCCCAACAGATGTGGGTGCCTTGGCATTAGTAGTGAAGGATGTAGCTACAAACACACATCTAATTGGATTTGAGCGAGGAAAGGTTAGAACTAACGTTCTTAGTCTATAGGGGCTGTCGACCCAATCATCTGAGACTGAAGGGGCTCAAATCCAATATTCGATTCGGAAAGCGATAGATTTCCGATATTCGAGTCGAATGTCAGGCGAGTGATGCGGTAGAAAAGATAAAGTGAACAAGGATTGTAGAGATTACGACGAAAAAGTAAAAATGTTGTTAAGTTCGACGGATCGAACATTCAAAATACGTAATGTCTTGGTAATCTACAGCAATGAGAGAATAACTAAATACGGGGACTTTACCTGTACAGGGTACGCCACAATTTTCGGTATTTTGGGGTTCTTGACCTTGCTTTTCAATCGAATTCGCTGAAATTTGGTACATAGCGTTCTTATTGGGTACAAAATTTCTCCACTTAAAATTATAAACATAGGTCAACTTTTTCTGGTAGCCCTTATACGAATATAACGATACCCCCGAAATTTGGATATTTTGGGATTTTGAAAGCGGTTTTCAACCAAATTCGCTGAGAATTGTTATAATGGGTTCTTATTAGGTACCAAATTTTTCCTATAAAACCAGTAAGGAAAGTTCAAAAGTCGGGCGGGGCCGACTATATGATACCCTTCACCACTTTGGGTACATAAAAGAGATGCTCATATGTACAACATCCATTTGATAGAATAGACATAGCGTCTTTGGAGGACCACTGAAATGGAATCGGACGAAATTAACTGCGTACATAGATATTTGAACTAAATTAAAACAACCCATACACATACCAATCTGAAATTTATGAAAAACTTAATGTCAATGCTCCATTAACATAAAATAGGACAAAACTTTATATGGGAGCTATATCTAAATCTGAACCGATCCCAATAAAACTTCGTAATCCAGACCTAATCCAGTCCGCTGTGCAACATTTACATAAAATTGGACGAATATACATATATATGGATGGGAGCTATATCAAAATCTGAATTTCCACAAAATTTCGCGGACGTCAACCAGCAGTAATTTCAATACGGATGTCAACCTGTAGTAACTTCAATACGCTATGCTAAATTTTGTCTAAATCGGCCTAAATTTTACTCTTTGGTGCCCCATATACATAAAATCGGACGAAACTATATATGAGAGCTATATCGAAATCTGAACCGATTCCAGCGAAACTTCGCATATGTAAATGTGGACCTAATTCAATACCATGTGCAAAATTTTGTCGCAATCGGCCTAAATTTGACTCTTTGGTGCCCCATTTACACAAAACCGTACGAAACAATATATGAGAGCTATATCTAAATCTGAACCGATTCCAGCGAAACTTCCCATACATCAATCTAAACCTAATTCAGTGCTCTGTGTAAAAGTTTGTCTCAATCGGACCAATATTGGCAGTATGGTGCTCCATTTCCATAAAATCGGACGAAACTATATATGGTAGCTATATCTAAATCTAAACCGATTTCAACAAAACTTGACACACATCAATCTAGACCTAATTCAGTACTCTGAAAAATTTTGCCTCAATCGGACCAATATTGGCAGTATGGTGCTCCATTTACATAAAATCGGACGCTATATGGAGCTATATCTAAATCTGAACCGATTTTTTCAATTTCAATAGGGTTCGTCATTGGGCCAAATAAATGAGCTGTTCCAAATTTCGTTTGATTTCGAATCATAAATGCAACCTGTACTTTGTTCACAAAAATACATGGACGGGCGGACGGAAAGACGAACATGCGTAAATCGACTTAGAAAGTGATTCTATGCATATTCTCAATTCTCGATTCCTTTTGCATGTTACAAACATATGCACAAAGATATATAATACCCTGTACCACAGTGTGGTGAAGGGTATAATTATAAATATCGGTCCAATTTTTCTGAGTTTTTATTGGTATTACAGATCTGCTCTCAAAATTATAAATATAGGTCCATTTTTTCTGATAGCCCGCATATCCCTTATATCCCTCCAATTTTTGGTATTGGGTTTGAGCGCGTTTTTTTTTACCAAATTCGCTGTAATTTGGTATTTAGGAAGGAAGGAAGATACATTATGGAAGATCGTGTTTCTCCCAGGAACATTGGATATTAAAGAAAGGACCTTTATATTACCTTCGAAAAATTATATATAGAGAGAGAATATATAAAATTTTGATTTCATAGATTAATGTTAATATGGGAAAAGTTACCAGAATCATGCAATTTTACACAGGGAAGGAAACTGATCAAAATTTCGCAGGTTTTTCGTGTGAAAAATTACAAAACATTTATTCTTTATAGCTTTGCTTGGGTAGGGTATTCGTTGCGGTAATGATCATTGTCGGTGGTTTGCAAATCCAAATGAATGGAACCATTAAAATTCAGCTGAATTGATCGAAACCGACCATAAAATGCAAACCAATGACGTTTCAATTTAATTTATTTACGACTTTTCCTTAAAACATATTAAAAAATTACTTTGGAAATAAAATCTCCTCTGATATTATTTTGTACATTACATTCGCAGATTTGTGTAGCCCTGAAAAATTACATTGTCCCCCACGCTGGTGAACCTCTACCCACTTTGACATTTATATAACTAATTTCTTGTACACAACTATGTATAACCTCAATTTTACGTAGTGTGTTTCTCTTTTTATTTTCCTTTGTGGTTTATACTTGTTCCGTACATTTCCGTTTCCGTTGGCGGTTCGGTTGGTTCCTTGGTTGGGGTTGATGTTAGTTAGTGGTGGTGTTCATTTCGCTTTTGAGTTGGCAAAGTTGTGTTGGTTTTTTGCGTTTTTTATTTGTTTGTTTGACTGGTTTATTTTGGTGTTTTCTTTGGCTAATATGTTTTAATTACTTTTACACAAGCCGAAGCCAAATTGTAAACTAGGACACAAAGGAGACAACAAACCCCCAGCTAACAGAATCCATATTTGGTATGAAAAAGAAGAAAAAAAAAACAACTAGCAAAATAAAATTTCAAGTATAATTTATTATTTAAAAGATGTCTGCGATGCGATGTCTTTATTCGGTTTCCTCTCTGTGTCCCCTTTGCAAGTCATGTTTCCTGCTTGCATTTTTTTGTTTGATTTTTTTTTCGTCGTAGTTGTTTTGTAGTTGTTTTGTTTGTTTTTTAGGTTATTTCCGTCATTTCCTTTTTGGCTGTGTTCCTTTGGCTAATTAAGATTTGTTTTCGTTTTTAACATTTAAGTGTGGCGTATCTTTTTCAGCTGCTTCTGATTCATTCGCGCAATGGTTGCATGGATGGATGGGTGGGTGCACGTATACAAGTGATAAACATGAAGAAAATCAAAAAGAAAAAATATGTTGCAAAAAGGATTGACAGCCGTCTGTCTGTGTTGCAAAGGACATTTAATGATTTTTATTTTTTCTTCAGAAATGTTTCTTGTGCATAACTAAGTTCAGTCCCTTGGGACTTGGGTGTCTGAACTTTAAGATAGAATTATTCGAGAA